CAAGATTAGGGCTGGCAGGTGGATGGGATAAGGTTTTCCAATTAAATTCGTGTAGGACAACCCTGGCTTCCCTCGAAGAATGAGCAAGTGCATTGTCATGATAGAAAAACGTCCTCAGTACAACCTTCCTGGCCTTGTCCATATTCTTAAAATTTCTTCATAACAAGCCCTCACAACTGGCCTGTGTCCTTTGAAATAATCTATCAAAATGAGCCCTTTGTAATAATAAGTCACAATAGCCTTATGAGCTGACTTCTCTGCCATCAATTTAAATGGCTCATCAGATGGCTTTGGAAGCCACTACTTTGGTTGGCCTTTTTTGATGGTGCAGTAAAGAGACTAAGACAAGTGACTGGCGAGCGGACTTGTCTGCAGCCACCCACTGATCACAGATATGCTTAAACACATTTTGTTTGGAATAAACCTAAGCATGGGTAGACTGAAAACCTAGTAGCAATATGTTTTGATTTAGCCTTATATTTTGCTACTGTACTAAATAAAAAATTACTGAATTTTTATACCTGTATTTTCATTTCCTGTCTTTTTACTAGTGATAATGACCATTTTTACTTATTCTCATTTTGAAACGTTTTATTGTGAATTAAGTAAAGGTTTACAGAGCAAATCATCTATTTTATGGTCAACAAATCATAATTTTGGCAATCTAAGGTGTAGTTATTGGGCTCTCCATGTGCAAAAGAAAGAAGAGCGACAAGAAGTGAAGAGGCTTGGACTCAATTAGCACAATGGACTAGTGATCCGCGTGGACATCAGTCTCAACAGCTCGGAGACCAGAAGAATTAGACAATGCCCAGCTACCACTACCAATTGCTCTAAAAGGGATCACATTAGAGGTCTCAGCTAGAATGGGAGAAAATTACAATAAAGCTGCAAATTATTTTTTTTTTTTAAATGGGCTTACTGGTCAGAAAGAGACTGGAGGAACCTGAGATCATGGCCTTGGGGCTCAAGCTTCAGGCAAGCAGTAGATGGGTACATGTTGTTGTTGTTAATGCCATCGAGTCACAGTGACCCTCTAGAGGGCTTCCAAGAAGCAGCTGGTGGGTTTAAACTGCCAACCTTGTGGTTCACAATCCTCTGCTTACCCTACAGCACCACACCAGGAGTACATAGGGAAGGACAACACTGGTAAGGGTTGCTCACCGTGCAATAGTCAATCGTTCCAAATCAAAAGGGCACCACTGTCCTATGGATACTGTTGAGAAGGGATAAGAAGGTGAGTGAAATGCAAACTGGAAGCACAGGGAGGAAGCGGAACAACTGCTGTTGCATGGAGGGGACTGTAGTCATGGAGATGAAACAAAGCAACTGATTTGCTTAAAGTAAAACTGATGATCTTGTCTGTAAACCTTCACTCAATTCACAATAAAAGGTGTTTTCTTTTTAATTTCATGAAAAAAATGGAATTTTTCCATAACCTTTTTGAAATCCCCATACTTACTAAGTATGTCAGACATCTTCACACATCTGCTGCAAATAGCTTCTCCCAGTTTATTCTTTGTTAAAGGACTTTCTGATATACAAAACAGTCATTGTTATGTAATCACAATTAGCAAACATTTCTCTTATGGCTCTTTCTCTTCTCCTATGCTTTAACTATTCTTTCTCATTCTGTCCTTATTTAATCATCAGTAATATTTTCTTCTCATGTTTAAGTTTTATATTTATATAACCTATGCACGTGGCTCTAATTTCAGTTTATCAATTGTTTATTGAAATGTCCTAGTTCATTTTTAATTAGCTTTTCTTTCCTCACTGATTTGTAACACCACTTTTGTCATCTGCAAAAAGCTAACAATTATATTTATTATTTATTGAGAACTCACTATGTGCTAGGCAGTTGACCAGACCCTTCCTGTTTTAAAAATCATAGAAACGAGGCAAGTACCTTGTCATCATCATCTATGGCCAGATTTAGAGAGATTGAAGTGATTGGTTCAAGGTCTTACAGCAAGGTTGCAACAGAGCCAGGACTGTATCATACCCTCCACGACTAGCTCAATCCTCTAAAAGACTCTGTAAGTTATTATTTATGGATCTATTGAGAGACACAGAAATAGTGATATAAACTATGTGTTTAGTTTCTCTGTCTGTTACACTGATCTTGGTTTCTCTTATTGTCCCAACACAGGGCTATTTTTAATCCTTTTGAAGAACAACAGCATGATCACCATGAAGAACAGTCCATCATGTTGCCTTACCAAGGGTAAGGTATTAGGCTCTAGTTCATTATATGTACTGCTAATTATTCATTGAAAACATCACTTAGCATTCTATTTAAAAACCAAATTTTGAAAAATATAATGGTGTATGCAGTCAACTTCTTTGATTTCCCGTTCATCTGGCATTATTTATCATTGGTTTCCTTATTTGATTTCCCGTTCATCTGGCATTATTTATCATTGGTTTCCTTTCGATTTCATGTTTTCCCTTGCTTCTTAAACACTAGTTTTTCCTTGATCCCCATGTCTTTGCTGAATTGATTTTGTCACCTACTCCTCCTTCTCTATTTCTACCATATACGTTTCGGTCCTGAGTTTTATTCTGGGACTTCTTCCTTCTCATGCTATACTCTCTCTGGACAATTACACCCACTCACATGTCGTAAGTAACCTTGATAATGGTAACTATTGAATCCATATCCGTGTGACTGCCTGTTGATAATCAACTCCTGGGCTCCTCCCCCTGATGTCTTATACGGCGTCATACCCAGCATTGCCTGCTGACACCATCACCACCAAAGTCTGCACATCTCACAGTTGTCTCCATCCTGTGTTGTCTAGCTCACCTGATGGGACCATGGTGTTGGATCTCGCCTTACACCCACCTTAATTCCACTATTCTAGTTAGCCACTAAGTGTACTGTACTCTACAGACTTAGCATCCCTCGATATAGTCTCTGTTCCCCACATTTGCCACCATTCGGGTTTCACGTCCTGTTGAACTATTTATTGCAACATTTCATGCTGAACTCCCTGCTTCAGACTTTCACTTTTCTGATTCCACTCACTGCGCTGCTGTCACAGAAATCATTCCACAATGCAAATTGTATCATATTGTTCCTAGGACTGCAATCCTTGAAGGCATTCCCTTTCATTCCAAGATAAAATCCAAACTTTTCCTATGGCTCATTCTGGGGTAAACTACACAATTTGTCATCCAAACAGTGACTGAGGAAAAGGAAATATATCAATAACCAGAGGTAAAATCAGACTGTGCCAGTCAAACCAAACTGCATGATCACTCTCCTATCAAATATACCATGATCAAACAGCTGTCTGCTCCAGGCTTTTCTTTACCTGCCCTAATCCACACATTCTAATGCCAGGCAAACCCAACTGTTCCTTCCCAACAGACTTTCCCTGATGGTCACATTGACTTCCCATGGAACGTTATTACCTTCACAAGCCTCCTTCCCCAAAAGGCATCTCTTAGTGTTTAAAACTCAAGTATTTCCTTATTCTTCTCCATCATTTCTAAGGGAATTGCTTGATTCTTGCAAAGTAGACAACCTTCTACTGAAGTTTTTTTTTTATTTTTGAGGTCTTGCTCCTTGAGGAAAGTAGAGTTTTCCATGGAGAAACACACCTATGGATCTACGGTTTAGTGGGCACACTGAATAAGGTGATCCTTTGTGAGCTGGGAAGACCTCCCGTGAGAAATCTACTCCAGGAGCCTGGAGTTCCTTAATCATGGCACATCCTGGTATCTCCTCATCTTTCACCTACCCCATTACACACAGATTACTCTTTACACCAAATGCTTATAGGATTAAGAACAACTTTACAATGTGCCCCAGCACCCCCAGTGGCAAAAGCATCAACAAACCCATGCAGTAGATGACCAGATATGAGAATAATACAGGTTTACAGAGATAATAGTGCATTCTTCCTAATTTTTGAGCTAAGAAATCACAAAGAAAAAGTCTTAATAATGGATTTTCCAAAATTATAAACAAATGCCTAGTCAACAGGATGATGACATGGGAGGCCCCAGGGAATTTTATCTGGGAACTGGGGAACTGTCTCTAAACGAACTGTTTCATCTTTAATTTCTGACCTAAGATTTAACTAATTTACTTTGTCATCAAAGTTGGGCCCAAAGGGATTAGGAAGTACATAGGACAATTACCTGTAATGAGCTTCTCAGGGAGTCTGGTCCCAGTGGCCACGGTGGCTCCTGTAAATGCCACAAACATCCTTCCTGAACACAGGACCAAGTCCATAATCCTCTTGTCTTCACTCACTCAGAACTAACCTATGCTTCCAAAACTTCCCCAACGTTACAATACAGTGGAACACTGACCATTCCACAGTGCTAGGATCCAGCCCTCTCAGGTAAGACTAGAGCACTGGAGATGTCTACATTTATTGACTAAGGAGCAAAGTTTAGGAACTCCTTTTGCTAATTCTTGAAGATCCAGGAATACTGAATCCATCATCTTGAGCTTGTGATAAACCCAGAAATAACTGACTGTACGTCTTGTCTCTTAAAGGAGCCTTGGTAGTAAAGTGGATTACGACTTGAGCTGCTAACCACAAGGTGAACAGTTGCTTCCATGGAAGAAAGATAAGGCTTCCTGCTCCCGTAAAGATTTACAGCCTCGGAAACCGTATACAGGGTCACTATAAATCAGAACCAACTCGGTGGCACATAACTACCACCTTGTCTCTTTAGAAACAACTAACTAGTTGGGCATAGGAAACGTAAGAGAAACACAGAGTCATATCGTTGGACTGCATATATGTCTTATGTTTCACAATGTAAAATATACAAAACAAGAATCAAGGAGTCTAGTAACAAGACCATCAGACTGAGTGTGGGAAACTGGATGCTTCGGAAGGATAAACAGATCTTTTCTTAGCACCTCTGTTACTTGATTTGCAAAGTGGTCTGTCCTAGAGCATGACTTACACAGTTTAACTACCCATGTCTAGGTTTCTGAATTGGCTGTTGTGCATTAACCTGGTTCTCTGTCCATGAGTGGGGCAAACCAATCGAGTGTCTCTGAGTTCCTCCTCATGGGACTCTCCAGGCAGCCCCAGCAGCAGCAGCAGCTCCTCTTCGGGCTCTTCCTGAGCATGTACCTGGTCACAGTCCTAGGAAACCTGCTCATCATCCTGGCCATCAGCACTGACTCCCGTCTGCACACCCCCATGTACTTCTTCCTCAGCAACCTGTCCTTCGTGGATGTCTGCTTCACCTCCACCACCATCCCCAAGATGCTGGCCAATCACATACTTGGGAGTCATACCATCTCCTTCTCAGGGTGTCTCACACAACTGTATTTTCTCATAGTGTTTGCGGACATGGACAATTTCCTCCTGGCTGGGATGGCCTATGACCGCTTTGTGGCTGTGTGCCACCCCCTACACTACACAACAAAGATGACCCATCAGCTCTGTGCTCTGATGGTCACTGGGTCTTGGGTCATTTCCATTCTGAATGCTCTGCTGCATACCCTGCTGATGACTCAACTCTCATTCTGTGCAGACAACAATATCCCGCACTTCTTCTGTGATGTGAGCATCTTGAAACTGTCCTGTTCCGACACATACCTCAACGAGATGATGGTTCTTATCGTAGCAGGGCTGGTTATGATTACTCCATTTTTTTGCATTCTCGTCTCATACATCCTTATTGCTTGTGCTGTCCTGAGAGTCCCATCCACAAAGGGGAAATGGAAAGCCTTCTCCACCTGTGGCTCCCACCTGGCTGTGGTTTCCCTCTTCTATGGCACCATCATTGCTCTGTATTTCAACCCTTCATCCTCCCACTCAGCTGAGACAGACACCACAGCTACTGTGATGTACACGGTGGTGACCCCCATGCTGAATCCTTTCATCTACAGCCTCAGGAACAAGGACATGAAAGGGGCTCTAAGAAAAGTGGTCGCCATGGGATTTTCTTCTGTCTAATATGGCACTGTGAGTTAATGCACTGGACTGCAAAGTTGGTTTGATTTGAAAGGTCGGCGGTTCAAGCTCACCAGCCGCTCCTTGGAAATGCAAAACACAGTTGCTATGGGTTAGAACTGACTCAACAGCACAAAATAACAATACTGACATGAACTCTGCATATCACAGGGGGGAACTAGTATCTAATAGAAAGAATCCGGTCTGGTTTGCCTAGTGTGTGGAAACCAGCAGTTTTTTCTCTTGTAAATTATCCTTTGTTCTTATCTGGTGAAAATAAAACTACTATTTTTTTTTAATAATATCTTATACAGGTTTTAGCACAAATTTACAAAGCAACTTAGGTCCCCATTTGACCATTTCCACACAAGTTGTTTGGTAACGTTACATTTATCACATTGTCTTTATTTTTTTTTTTTTTATCTGTAGAAATATTGTCTGCCAACATTGTTTTTCTTGTATTGTTTGTTCCCTTTCCAGTACTCCAGTTTCCTTCCCTCCTAGCTCCTCATCTTTGTTTTAGTATAATTATTGATCATTTTGTTTCACACTGATGGTTTAAGCAGGGCACGGGTCTCCCAGGTAATATCCTTAATTGAGTGTGGCACTCTGCTATTACGCTACAAGGTGATCTCAAAGGGCAGGATTGGTCTAGGGTTCAAGCGTTTCTCAGAGTGAAAGACTCAGATTGTCCTCTGATCTTTACTGTTACAGTCTGTCTGGCTTTTTTTTTTTTTTGTCATTGTAAAAATAAGAGTTTAAGTTCTGTTCCTTATTTTCCTCCAGGTCTATGTGCTTTTGTTTAACTTTTCATTGTGAATTGAGTGAAGGGTTACAGACAACAATCATCAGTTTTACATTCCACAAATCTCACACTTTGTTTCATCTCAGTGATTGCACTGCCCTCCATACAACGACAATCATCTCCCTTGCTCCCTGTGGTTCCTATGTCCATCCCACCCTCCTTCCCACCCTTTCCAACTCGGTCCTTAGGTAAATGTTGCCCTTTGGGTCATGAATGATTACCAATCCATGGTGAGCAGATCTCACTAGTGTCGTCTGTCTCTCTATGGACCTATCTACTGCTTGGCTGAAAACTGGACCACAAAGCTAGCCAAGCTCCATCTAGTGCTTTGGCTTGCGGGTAGCTGAGGCTGTGGCTGGCATAGACTTGTAGCTCTGCTCCTTAGGTTACTTTGTTACTGTTTTGCTCCTGGTGAGTAAAGAAAGACCCATAGTGATGTTTTAGAGGGGCACTCGAAAGCTTGTAAGACCACAGACTCTACTCACTTCACTAGGATGCAGATCATGATTTTTTGTTGAGAATGAAAGTCAATACAAAGACTTTTCAGGTTACATATGGAAAGAGAGTTCATTCTACCAAATGACTGGACTATTCCAACTCCCACTGCCCTCCAGTCAAAACCTCCAGGTCAGCACTTCGAGTTTAATGGCTTTGTTACTCATTACTATAAAGCAGAACACACTCCAGGGAACCCTGAGACTCTTAGGAGGAGGATTTGAACACATGTTCAATTACTTTAATGAGAATTTAAGCAATTGGTGGTTTGTTCTGGAATAGATCAGAGAGCAGGAGAAATGTTCATTGGCCATGTCAATGTCTTTTCTAGGAGGGAAGACTAAAGGGAGCCAACCACTGAGACTGGTAAGGAACAGCCATCATTCCTGATGGAGGATACCTGTGATGTTTTCTCACGTGGTCGGAGTCTAACTTTGTCTTGACCCATCATGGTCACAAAGTGACTTTGTGGGATACTGATTATCTGTAGAATTCCCCATGTTCAACAGGGGTCCTGAAGGCCAATCTGTGAATGTGTACCCAAATACTGATGTCAGGCCTGCTTTTCTCTTTCTCACAAGAGAATCTGACATGAGCAAGCTGATGGGAACACCAGACTGGTGTTGGGGCAGGAAGAGGAAGGGATCACTTACAGCTCCAGGAAGGCCTCATTCTGCCCACTCATTCAAGCTCTTTATTTAACTCTTTTCATCTGAGATGCATGTTTCATACAACATTGCAGCAGAAATATGGGTAACTTAAACCACTCATCTGTCAGTTTGTCGGACTGTGGGGGCTTGCATGTTACTGTAACGCTGGAAACTATGCCCCTGGTTTTTTAAATACCAGCAGGATAGGCATGTTTGAGTTGAGCTTCTAGACTACGACAGACTAGGGAGAAGGAGAGGCAGACTAACTGACTATTTAGTCCCTGAAAACCTTACGAAGACTAGCACAACACTGACAGGTATAGTGTCAGACGATGTAAACATCACTAAGGTGTGTCTGACCAAAGCCACGGGATGTTCAATCGCCTCATATGCATGTGGAAGTTGAACAACGAATAAGGAACACCAATAGAAGAATTGATGCATTTGGGTTATGGTGATGGAGAAAAATATTAAAAGCCTCATGAGATGTCAGAAGACACCATGGCAGGAGCAATGGGACTCAAGCATAATAACACTTGTAAGGATGGCACAGGACCGGGCAGTTGTTCATTCTGCTATAAACAGGGTTGCTGTGAGTCAGAACCAACTCAACAGTACCTGACAACAACAAACAAGAAAGAACCGTCTTCCTCAATCCCAATACCTACTCATGTCGACTTCAGTTTTAAGAACCTTCTTCCTCAATCCCAATACCTACTCATGTCGACTTCAGTTTTTTTCTTACACTGTTCATGTGCTCAGATATTTTTATAAATAGACCTGTTTTGTTGTAGCTGGGTGCCGTCGAGTCAGTACTAATTCATTGCACTCATAGAGACATTATGTACAACAGAACAAAACACTGCCTGATCCTGCACCAACCTTACCATCATTGCTACACTTGAACCCATTGCTGCTGCCACTGTGCCAATCCATCTCGTTGGGGGTCTTTCTCTTTTTTGCTGACCCTCCACTTTATCAAACATGATGTCCTTCTCCAGGGACTGGTCCCTCCTGATAACATGTCCGAAGTGTGAAAGACCAAGTCTGAACCATCCTAGCTTTTAAAGGAGCATTCTGACTATACTTCTTTCAACACAGATCTGCTGGTTCTTGTTTCGGCAGCCAACAATATTCTCTTCCAACACCATAACTCAAATGCATCAAGTCTTCTTTCGTCTTCTTTTGTCATTGCCCAACTTTCACATGCATATGAGATTACTGAAAATACCATGACTTGGGTCAGGCACACCCTAAGCCCTCAAAGTGACATGTTTGCTCTTGAACGCTTTTAAAAAGTCTTTGTCTGTTGAAACATACCTATTTACTGTTCAGTTTTTCCAATTTCATTTTGTAACAAACCTTTTACAAATTGGTCCATGGTGTCCATAATTTTATCTTACTGCCCTTCTATATTTCCATCAAGTTCTTCTAACATAATTTACTCAATTATAATTGTATTTCTGAAATAAAACATAACAAAAAATTACTTTCTTAAAGTCTAATTGAAATTTATTATGAAAATGAATGAAGAACATTTTTTAATATTTTAAACTGGGAAAACAGTGCTGAATATAATGTCACGCATTCCGAGGAAGACAGAGGAAAACTTGGCAGTTCCCCTTCATTTCACAGAGATGACATCTTGTGTGAAAACAGGCAGAATTCAGCATCAGAGGCCATTTCTGAGTTCAGCATGTGACTGTTCCTTGGATTTATCAGAGTGGTGTATTAAGAGGTCTGTCTTGAAGGTAACTACATGGGACCATTTTCACTATGGGTCTAAGTAGCCACTGATCTTTCATAAGACGATAGATACCACAGTGTCTGTTCCTCACATTTCAAAGTGACCCCTAGCCTTCAGTGTGGATGTGGACAGAGGTGAGGGCTAACAAGGGGGATACTTTTTTGGTTCTGCTTTTTGGTATGAAAACCTTTTCTTAAGTGGTGATGGTGGTTATGTGCCATGGAGTCGCTTTCAACTTGTAGCGACCCTGTACAGGGTTTCTGAGGCTGTAAATCTTTACGGGGGCAGAAAGCCTCATCTTTCTATCCCGCAGAACAGCTGGTAGTTTCTAACTGCTGACCCTGAGGTTAGCAGCCCAATTCATAACCACTATGCTACCAGAGCTCCTTTTTCTTAAGTAAATAGAGGTAAATACTGTTAACTGATGGTACATGGAGTGGATTCCAACCATTGTCATGACACCAAGTGTATAATTTATTGAATGTGGGACTGATTATATGTTCTGGTAACCTTTACTCAATTCACAATAAAAAGTTTTAAAAAAATTTTTTTTCTTGAGATTTTACAATAGTGGTTTCAGGTCCTTTTGTGATTAACTAATTTCACTCAGCATAATGTCTTCCAGGTTCACCCATATTACGAGGCATTTTGCAGATTCATCTTTATTCTTCTAAGTTGCACAGTATTCCATTGTATATACCCCCAAATTTGTTCATCCATTCTTCCACTGATGGACATTTAGGCTGTCTCCATTCTTTTGCAATTGTGATGAACATCGGTGTGCACACTCGTGTCCTGGTTTTTATTACTTGTGGCTATATTCCAAGAAGAGGGATTGCTGGTACATAAGGTATTTCTATTTCCAACATTCTGAGGAAGCATCATACCATTGTCCATAGTGGTTGAACCATTTTACAGTCAAAAGAGGGTGATATTTTAAATATCCTCCTCAATGGTTGTTGTCATTGATAGGTGCCCTAGAGTTGGTCCCTACTCATAAGGTTCCCACATACAACAGAACAAAGCGCTGCTCAGTCCTGCAGCGTCTCCACAACCATTGGTATGTTTGAGCCGACTGTTTCAGCCACTGTGTCAGTCTGTTATTGAGAGTCCTCCTCCAGTCTGCTGACCTTCTTCTTTAGCAAGCATGATATGTCCTTTCCCAAGGATTGCTTCCTCCTGTCCAAAGTAAGATGAAGTCTCACCATCCTCAATTCTAAAGAGCATTCTGGATCCATTTCTTCCAAGACAGATTTATTCCTTCTTCTAGCAAGCCATCGTATACACGTTGCTGTTGTTAAGTGCAGTCAAGTCACTTCTACTCATAGTGACCCTGTATATGGTTTCTGAAGAACAGCTGGTGGGCTTCAACTACTTATTTTGCACTTCAAACCAACCCTGCAGTCGACCACTTATCCTACAGCACCACACCAGAACAGATTCCTCCTCAATTAGTCAGCCATATTACATTTTATGTTTATCAGCTTTGATGTTTTTAAGTTTTTATAAACTAGCACTGACTTCATTAGGTTTTCAGGTAATTATATCAACATGTAATTGTATGGGTATACTTTCTATATAAATTAAATGGTAGTTTTAACTTTTATTGCTATTATTATTTTTATTCACTGTCCAGCTTTCGCATTCATAAGAGGTTATTGAAAATACCAAGGCTTGGGTCAGGCACACCTTACTCTTCAAGTTGGCATCTTTGCTCTTCAACACTTTAAAAAGGTCTTGTGCAGACTTGCCTAATGCAATAAGTCGTCTGATCTCTTGACTGCTGCTTCCATGAATGTATTTTGTTTTTTTCCTCCTAAGTTTGTCTTAGGACAGCGGACAGTGAATAGCCGTACAGTGAATAAGGAAAATCAGAGAAGAATTGATGCTTTTGAGTTGTGGTATAGGAGGAGAATACTGAAAGTGCCATGGGCTGTCAAAAGAACCAACAGATCTGTGTTGGAAGAAGTGCAGCCAGAGTGCTCCTTGGAGGCCAGGATGGCTAAACTTGGTCTCTCATACTTGGGACATATTGTCAGGAGAGACCAGTCGCTGGAGAAGAATATCATGTTTAGTAAGGGGGGATGGTCAGAGAAAAAGAGGAAGACCCCCAGTGAGATGGATTGGCAAAGTGGCAGCATCAATGGGTTCAAACATGGCAACAATTGTGACGTTGGCCCAAAATTGGGCAGCATTTCGTTCTGTTGTGCATAGGGTGGCTATGAGTTGGTACTGACTCGATGGCACCCAACAACAACAACAACAACAACAAGTGTTAGTCTTAGACTTCTTTCTTCTCATTCCACACTCTACTGGACAATTACATCAACTCTGCTGTCTCTAACTAGACCTGACACTGATGACTTCTGCATCCGTGCCCCTGAGACCTCCTCTGACTATACATCCATAACATCCACCTCTTCAGCTCCTCTACCTGGGTGTCTTGTGTAGCTTCACATCCACCATCACAGCCTACCTCACAAGCACACACACACCCCTGAGACTTCTCTCCAGCCTGTGTTGCCTGTCTCAGATGATGGTACCCCAGTGTTGGGTATCAACCTCTACTCTCCCTCCTCCCACTTATCCAATCAGCCACTAAATGCTGTGTACTCTATCCTTAGCATCCCTCAAGACATTCTTGACTTTCCATATCTGCCATCTTTCAGGGTCCGCTCCCTTGCTGGACTGCTGCTACACTTCACGGTGGTCTGCCTGCATCAGTTTCTAGTCTTGCATTAGTTTCCCTTCTCTGATCCCACCCATCACAATGAAGTCACAGGGATCACTCTACAATGTAAATCAGATTACATTCTCCCTGAAATTTCCATTTTTTAAGGTACCCTCTCCCATTCTAGGAAAATATCTAAACTTCTAAATATGACTTCTCGTGGGGTGACGATATAATGTATCATGCAAAACATGATTTTGTCCAAGAGCATTCATCATTACAAGCTAACTCAAGTCGATGGCAGGCAAACCAAACTATTCGATAACCCTACTCATGTGCCATGCCTTCCTCTCCCTACTCAAGTCCTTATCCTCACACTGTAGCTGAACCTGTTGCTCTGTCCCCCTAAAATGAGACTACCTGGTGGCCACACTTATTTACTTCTGCTTTTACTAGCCCCACAAGCCTCTTTTCTCACAGTAACCACCCTTTCCTGAAAAGGAGTTATTCTTTACTCTTCTCCACCAATCCCACAGGAATTGATTGCTTTCTGCTCCTAATGTGCCCTCTTTGGTCTTCTATTCTATTTCTTTGCATTCTTTTGGATCTTCTATCCATGAGAATGAAGTCCTGGTGTGGTATTGCAGGATCCACACTGGACTGCTAACTACAAGGTCAGTGGTTCAAACCCACCAGCTGGTCCTCAGGAAACCTATACAGAGTCTCTTATGAGTCCGAACAGACTCAACACAGCACCTGACAACAACAATCATGAGAATGGAGTCCTGTTGTGGCACTATAGGATCAGCACTGGACTGCTAACCAGAAAGTTGGCAATTCAAATCCACCAGCTGCTCCTTGGAAACACTATGTAGGCTCTCTATGAGTCAGAACAGACTCAACAGCAAGTCACAACATCATAAGAATATAAGGTTTACACATTCAAAACAACAACTTTGTAGGTCCACGGATGGCGTGGCATTGTCTTAAGTAGGTTGATCCCTGGGGAGTTCAGAAGACATCCCAAGAGGATTGCAGACCAGCAGCCCAGAGTTCCTCGGTCGTGACATGGTTGCTTTTCCAGATACTGCTCTTCAAACTCTATTAAAAACAAACCATCCTTTACACCCAGTAACTGTAAGGATTAGAAGCAACTCTGCAATGCAGTATACCCACTGGAAAAGGCACCACTCAGTCAATGCAGTTGTTGCTGCTAAATGCCGTGGAGTTGGTTCCAACTCATAGCGACCCTGTACAGGGTTTCCAGGGCTGTTTATGTTTGTGGGAGCAGAAAGCCCTGTCTTTCTCCCACAAAGCGGCTGATGGGCTCAAACCACCAACTTTGGGGTTCACAGTCTAATGCTTATCATACTGAGCACTGCACTCCATAATCAATGAAGTAGATGACCAGAATTGAGGGGTGAATGGCTTGTACAGATAACATTGTAGTAACTCAAATTTTTGAGCTAAGAAAAAAATATATTTTAATAACTCATACACTTAAATCTATGTCAGAAAATTTAAGATTCCAGGGAATTCTATTTGGAACTTGTCTCCACCCAGATAGTTTCCTCTCCAAGTTATGAGTATTGAATCGGGTAATATTCTATACCAGCTCTGTTTGGTCCAGAGAGGCCAAAAGGGAGTTGGTACACTGTCTTCTTATCTCTAACGAAGCTCTCGGGAATAAGGTCCCAGTGGCCATGAAGACACCTGTAAATGCCTGCTCTGGGATTCCCACAAATGTCTTTCAGGCACTGAGTTAAGACCATGACTACCCTGCTCCTCACTTGCTCAAGACCTGCCTATATTTCCAAGACTTTCCAATCCTCACAATAAAGAGAAGCATTGGCAGAGGTGAAGAACATAGGACGACGACACCACTAACCTCCCTCAGGTAAGATTACAGCAGAGGAGGCAGTGATATTGGTTTACAAGACATGGAATTCTTTTAGGAATACACTTCACTAAATCTTCCAGATTGAGGAATCAATAGAAGTCCTGAATAAAGCAGTTCGATTGAGATAAAGCCAAAATCAATCAGCTGTTTCTCTTTTCTTTAGGAGTTACAAAGGCGGTGAAGTGGGGAACTGAAAAATGTAAACCGAGACACATACAGTCAACAGAGCGCAAATGGATATATTCCTGTTTCTTTTTCTATTTTTAATATGCAAAACCGAATCAGGGAGTCTAGGAGGACTAGCTTAAGACTGAGTGTGGAAAATTGAGAGAATGAGTGAACAGATCTTGTCTTAGCAACTCCATTAACAGATCTGCAAATATGTCTTAGTCTGGAGCTTGATTTACTACATTTTGTTCATCCGTGTCTAGGAGTCTGAATTTGCTATTGTGCACTAACCTGGTTCCCTGCCCATGACTCAGGCAAACCAATCAAGTGTCTCTGAGTTCCTCCTCCTGGGGCTCTCCAGGCAGCCCCAGCAGCAGCAGCAGCTCCTCTTCGGGCTCTTCCTGAGCATGTACCTGGCCACAGTCCTGGGAAACCTGCTCATCATCCTGGCCACCAGTACAGATTCCCGCCTGCACACCCCCATGTACTTCTTCCTCAGCAACTTGTCCTTCGTGGACATCTGTTTCTCCTCCACCACCATTCCCAAGATGCTGACCAATCACATACTTGGGAGCCAAACCATCTCCTTCTCTGGGTGCCTCACACAGATGTATTTTTTTATGACGTTTGGGGATGTGGACAATTTCCTCCTGGCTGTGATGGCCTATGATCGCTTTGTGGCTGTATGCCATCCCTTACACTACACAACAAAGATGACCCACCAGTTCTGTGCCCTGCTGGTTGCAGGACTATGGGTCATTGCCAATATGCATTCTTTGTTGCATACCTTGATGACAGCTCGACTCTCATTCTGTGCAGATAACAGAATCCCCCACTTCTTCTGTGATGTGCCTCCTCTCCTAAAGCTCTCCTGCTCTGACTCACACCTCAATGAGCTGTTGATTCTGACTGAGGGGTCCCTGATAATGATCATCCCATTGGCTTCCATCCTGGTTTCCTACATTTGCATCACCTGTGCTGTCCTGCGAGTCCCATCCACAAAGGGGAAATGGAAAGCCTTCTCCACCTGTGGCTCCCACCTGGCTGTGGTTTCCCTCTTCTATGGCACCATCATTGCTGTGTATTTCAACCCTTCATCCTCCCACTCAGCTGAGAAAGACATAGCGGCTGCTGTGATGTACACAGTGGTGACCCCCATGCTGAACCCTTTCATCTACAGCCTCAGGAACAAGGACATGAAAGGGGCCCTAACAAAAGTGATTTCCATGAAATTTTTCTCTGTTCAATAATAACATGGACTCTGCCATATAGGAAATTAGTTTGTAATAAAATCTTATTTCCTTTTATCCCTAATTCTTTGAAACTTGCAGTTGTCTATCCATATGTTTGTCTTGAGAGAATGAAACTCTTGATACAAACACTTCATGTTAAAGAACGAGACCATCATTGCTGTGTATTTGAACCCATCACTCTCCCACTCAGCTGAGACAGACACAGTAGCTACTGTGATGTACACGGTGGTGACCCCCATGCTGAACCCTTTCATCTACAGCCTCAGGAACAAGGATATGAAAGGGGGCCTCACAAAAGTGATTTCTATGAAAGTTTTATGTTCAATAATGACATGGACAGAGAATGTCACACAGGAAACTGGTTTGTAATGATTTTTTGCCCCTACTTACTGTAATGTAGTTCTCCATCCAGATATTTGTTTTGGTGGAGTGAAACTCTTGATACAGACTCCTCAAATTAAAGGGAAAGAGAGATTCTCTTACCGAATGGTCAGACTATTCCAACTGCCAATACCCTCCAATCCAAACCACCAGGAACACATCTCTAGCTAGTTTAGTGTGTTTATTACCCATTACAAGAAATAACACCTTCAATGCAGAGCTGTGGGAATTATGAGTCCAAAAGTGTTAGAAAGTCTTACAGGTTTGACTGTGAGCTAATTGTGGTGAGGGTTTAAGCACTGGGGTTTTGATCTGGCTTGTATGTCAGACACAGGAGTAATTATTATTGGGCATATCAGTATCTTATCTAGATGGATGAAAGTGGAGACAGAGGTGAAAGTTGTATTTGATAAGGAATCAGCCATCACTCATGATCAGTCAATATGAGAAATGTCTGGTCATTGCTGTGGCTTGGATAATGTTTACGTTTTTGTCTATTTCCAGACATGACTAGGGAGCATGGTGGCTCCATAGGTTTAGCGCTGGACTGCAAACCACACTGTCAGCAGTTCGAGTCCACCAGCCACTCTGTGGGAATAAGATGAGGCTTTCTGCTCCCATGCAAATATTTAAAGCCTCAGAAACTTAACGAAGGCATGACTAAGGTGGTCTTGTTTTGATCCTTCAAGGTCACCTTGTCTGATACTAATGGTTTGTGAATTTCTCTATGTCCAGCAGGGAAAAGGCTCCTTTAGAGCTCCAGCTCGTCTTATGCGTGCCAACACTTTAGCTAATTAGTGTTACCTTCGCATCTGAACTTTATGTATCATACAACATTACAGCAAGAATTTTGTTCTTGTGTTGCGATGTGACATCGTGTCAGTCCCGACCTATAGCAACCCTGTCTAGGGTTTCCACGGAGCAGCTGGTGAGCTTGAACCGCCAACCTTGCAGTTCAAACCGAATTTGCAGTCCAGGGCATTAACCCACAGCAAAAATACGGGCAATTAAAAAAAAGAAGTTTCTTCCTCAGTCCCAATGTGCAGCCATGGCTACTTCAGCTTTTTCGTGTCTTCTGTCAATGGGTGGAGGTTTTGTTGCTAAGTTCCATCAAGTTGTTTCCAATTCACAGCGACCCTAGATAGGGTTTCTGAGGAGCAACTGGTGAGAATGAACTGCTGGCCCTGAGGTTTGCAGTCCAGTGCTGATCCTACAGTCCACTCCAGGACTTCTCCTGGCTTTCCACTTTTCTTTTATAACAAATACTTTCCAAATTGCTATAGAATCGCCACAATTTTTATTTTATTGTTCTTATATTTTTTAACAGGTTCCTTTAGCAAAATTTCCTCACTCATCATTTTGTTTCTGCACTAAAATATAATGGAAATTTACTATTTAATACATGACTCGAAATTTATTTGAAAGCAATTGCAGGAAATAAAATATTGAGAAATATTTAAAACTAGATAAAACATCAATGAACAAAATGCTCTGGATTTTGAGAAAGAAAGAGGAAAATAGGGTATTTTTCTTAATTTTACATTTGAAAGAGATGGGCAAGATGACATCTTGTGTGAAAAGTGCAGAGTTCAGAAAAGAGGGTCTTTATGAGGTTAGCATCTGGTTTTCTTGTTTATAGTCATCGGATTCGTGTAGCAAGATCTCTGCCTTGCAGAAAACATGGGAGTGTTTTCAATACTAAGTCTGTTTGACGGCATAATTATTATTGTTGTTAAGTGCCATCGCGTCAGTTCTGACCCACAGTGACCCTGTATAGGGTTTCCAAGGAACAGCTGTTGAATTTGAACTACCAACCTTGTGATTCAAACAACCTTGGAGTCCACCGTATTAATCCATAGGGCCACACAAGGACTCCATATGACAGTATGATATTGTTGTTAAGTATTATTGCGTCGGTTCTGACCCATAGTGACCCTGTATAGGGTTTCTAAGGAGCAGATGGTGAGCTTGAACCACCGACCTTGCAGTTCAAAGCTTTGCACTCTGACGCATTAGCCCACAGTGCCACCCCAGGACTCCATGACAATATGATAGGAGAGTATAATATGAATAAAGTTAGACACAAAAAGAATAATATTCAAAGATTTTGACATGTATAGAAATATTAGACACAGTTACAAGTTAATGTGTTTGCAAACCTACTGAAGAAGAAGATTTCCTATGAACATGTAAACGTAGCAACAACTAACATACATGAAATAAAACATCATCTAGTTTAGGTTTTTTAACAGGTTCCTTTAGCAAACTTTCCTCACTAATCATTTTGTATCTGCACTAAAACATAATGGAAATTTGCTATTTAAAGATACGTTTACTATTTAAATATAAACTCTCCTATGACATGGTAGCGTAGTGGTTACGAATTGGGCTGCTAACTTCAAGGTCAGCAGTTCGAAACTACCAGTAGTTCCGCAGGAGAAAGAGAAGGCTTTCTGCTCCCGTAAAGATTTACAGCCTCGGAAACCCTGTACAGGGTCACTATGGGTCGGAATCGACTCGACAGCACTTAACAACAACAACGTGACATGATAGGAGAGTTCTGTTCCTTGAAGGTTTGATAGAAATGATCGGCCTTTGGTTTGCATGAAAGTTTGTGGATAAACGTGGGGATGAGAGAGGAGGTGATGTTTTTTAATGTCTCCCTAAGTAAGTAAACTATATTATGTTTTATTTCATGTATGTTAGTTGTTGCTACCTTTACATGTTCATAGAAAATCTTCTTCTTCAGTAGGTTTGCAAATAAACTAACATGTAATTGTGTCTAGTATTTCTATACATATCAAAATCTTTTGTATTTATTATTCTTTTTGTGTCTAACTTTATTCATATTGTTCTTGATTGCTTTTAGTAGTAGGTTGTGTTTTTTGTTTTTTGTTTTTTTACTTTTTATTGTGAATTGAGTGAAGGTTTCCAGACAAGATCATCCGATTTACATGAAAGGAATCACACACTTTGTTTCATCTCACTGAATGTAGTTCTCCCGCTTCCTTCCAGTGGCTATTTCCATTCCACCCTCCTTCCCATCCCTTCTCAACTTTGTCCTTAGGAAAATGTTGCCGTTTTGATTTGGAATGACTGACCGGCCCATGGTGAGCGTGGCTTATCAGTGTTGTTGGCTCCCTGCCCCCCACCCCTCCTATCTACCTATCTACTGCTTGGCTGAAAATCTGGCCACAAGGGTGGGTTCCTTTCTAGACCTAAAGGGTGGTCAAGGGTCGTAGTCTCAGCTTCCTCCAGTCTTTCAGACCAATAAACCCAGTTTGTTTTCTTCAACTAATTTTGAGTTTTAGTCCACATTTTCTCCCACCCTATCCAGAATCCTCTAATGTGATCCTTTCAGAGCAGTTAGTAATGGTAGCCAGGCACCTTCTAGTTTTACTGGTCTCCGAGTCGTGGAGACTGAGGGTCACATGGTCCAATAGTCTACTGGACTCATTGTATCCAAGCCTTTTCACTTCTCGTCACTACGCACCAAAGTAGGATGTAGAACATTGTCATTGTGCACTGTGTTATATCGAACGACCATGGGGGCTCCTGAAACTACAGTCCTGCACCCCCAGGCCTTGCCACTCATTGCTTTAAGATGTTTCATAACATCTAAGACGTTTTCACCCAGGTACAATAATCCTCTTTCACACTTTTATATATTTGTGGAAG